GATCCTCGAGGCGATGGAGCAGCAGAGCATCTCGGTCGCCAAGGCCGGGATCGTGTGCAAGCTCAACGCGCGCTGCTCGGTGCTGGCGGCGATGAACCCCAAGGGCAAGTACGACGCGGGCGCGTCGCTGGCCGTCAACACGGCGCTGTCGACGCCGCTGCTGAGCCGCTTTGACCTGGTGCTGGTGCTGCTGGACTCGCGCGACGAGGAGTGGGACAGGCGGGTGGCGGGATTTGTGCTGGACTCGTCTGGGTCTGGGTCTGGGTCTGGGTCTGGGTCTGGGTCTGGGTCTGGGGCTGGGTCTGGGTCTGGGGCTGGGTCTGGCTCTGGCTCTGGCTCTGGCTCTGGCTCTGGCTCTGGCTCTGGCTCTGGCTCTGCCCCAGACCCAAACCCAGACCCAAACCCAAACCCCGCGGACGACGCCTGGCCCTTCGAGCGCCTCCAGGCATACGTCGCCCACGTAAAGGCCGCGCTGCGCCCCGAGCAGACGCCCGCCAGCGAGCGCGTGCTGACGCGCTACTACCAGCTGCAGCGCCAGCGCGACACGCTCAACGCGGCGCGCACCACGATCCGCCTGCTCGAGAGCCTGATCCGCCTGTCGCAGGCGCACGCGCGGCTGATGTTCCGCGACAAGGTGCTGCTGGCGGACGCGGTGACGGCCGTGGCGCTGATGGAGTGCACGATGCTGTCGGCGTCGGTGCTGGGCGCGACCGACGCGCTGCACACGACGGCGGCGGCGGACCCGGACCGCGCGTACGCCGAGCTCGAGGCGCTGGTGCTGGAGCGGCTGGGGCTGGCGGGCGGGGGGGAGCGGGAGTAGCGGGGAGAGGTGGTGGTGTGTATTGGGCGTACTGCTACTGCTAGTCACACGTACTGCCGCGCCTCGTCCAGCGCCGCCCTGATCTCGCCCGAGGCCGGGTCCAGCGAGTGCCCGATCTGGAACTCGGCCGCGGCCTGGCGGCAGCGGTTCAGGTCCATTAGCGCGCGGCCCATGCGAAAGTGGCCCTTGCCCCAGCCGCGCTTGAGGCGCGTGACGACCTCGGTGTCCCAGTACGCCTCGGCGGCGTGGCCCAGCGCCAGCAGGCACGCGGCGCGGTTCGACAGCAGCACGGCCGACTCCTCGACGACGGTCTGGCTCGGGTCCCACAGCGGGCGCTGCGCGGCGACGTTCAGCGCCTCGGTGTACTTTTGCGCGGCCTCAAAGTGGCACTGCGCGCGGAACATGTCGTTGCCCTCGGTCTTGAGGCGCTGCACCGCCTGCGCCAGCTGCGGGTTGGGCGGCGGCAGCGCCATGCCGTTGGCGCCCAGCTGCCGCGCGACAAAGTTGTGCGCCGAGTGGTCGGCGCCGCACTCGGCGCACACCTGCCTGCGGTGCTCGGAGCAGTGCAGCAGCCCGTCGATGGCCGTCACGCCGGGCACGCCGGGCAGCTCGTGCGCGGCGGCGCCGTCGGCGGTCGGGAACACGGGGCGGGGGCCGAACGGGGCGGGGGCGGCGTCCATGTCTATGTTGGTGGTGGTGTTGTTGTTTGTTCTGGTATGCAGGTGCTGTTCTGGTGGTGGTGGTGGTGACGTGGCTGATGGTGGCAGGGCAGAGCGGGGCGGAGAGAGCAGTGCGTTTTTTTGAGGAGCGGGGGAGCAGGCCCGCTTTTAAAGGCCGGGGAGCGGAAAATGCTTTTCCTGCAGCCCGCGCTGCGGGGCGCTTGTGGGTCTGCAAAAACCCCCCGGGCTTGGCGTTGCGCCCCGGGCTGTCCGGCCGGAAGCGCCCGCCCACAGACGGCGCCGGGGACCTTAGCTCAGCTGGGAGAGCGTGTGACTGAAGATCATAAGGTCCCGTGTTCGATCCACGGAGGTCCCACTTTTTGCTTTTTTTGCTGCTGCCGCCGCCGCCGCCGCCGGCAGCGCTGGCCGGGCCCCGCCCGCAAGCGAGAGACACAGCGAGACACGCCAGCCGGGCGGTGGGCCACCGCCACACCACAAAAAAGAAAAAGAATAAGAAAAGAATAAACCCCCGCCTAGCACCCGCTCGGCACCTTAAAGTCCTCGACGTGCCGCTGCCCGTCGCCGCCGCTCGCCCCCGCGCCCAGCCCGCGCTTGGCAAACGCCGCCCACAGCACGCACCGGTTGCGCCCGCCGGTCAGGTTTGCGTCCGCCTGCAGGATCGCGTCGCGCGCGTCGGTGAACGACGGGTTGCACGGCTGCAGCTTCATCCCGTCCAGCAGCAGCTGCAGCGCCAGCGCGTTGCCCTTGGCCGTGTCGTGCGCCAGCAGGTCCGGCGCAAGCCCGTGCGCGTCAATCAGCGCCCACGTCACCTCGTACAGCATCGCCGCCCACACCTCGCCGATCGCGTGCACCTCCTGGTAGTCGGCCCGGTCCAGGTACCCGTACGTCAGCGGGTTGGCCGCGAGGCTGGTCGCGTACGGGTACGTGCGGATGTTGCGCCCCGCCGCGTACTCGCCCATCGCCATCTGCGTCGCGCGCGTGGCGCCCGGGCGCAGGCGCACAATGTTGGCCACCGCGTCGCTCCAGCCCTCGCCCATGCCGCCGCTCTCGCCCGAGACCAGGCAGTCGCTGTTGGCCGGCCCGCCCGTCAGCCGGTTCGAGATGCCGTGCGTGTACTCGTGCACCACAATGTCCTGCTCCAGGTCGCCGTCGCGCGCGGGCCGCGTCATCGTCCACACGTACATCCGCATGCGCGGCCGCTGCCCGTCCGGCGGCGTGGCAAAGTTGGCGTTGTTGGTGCCGCTGCCGTCCTGCGCGTTGGCAATGACCGCGTCGCCGCCCGCCCCGGCGCCGCTGTAGTTTTCGTCCTGAAAGTTGCCCGCCGCCTCGTCAAACCCGTACACAAACGCCAGGTCGTGCATTGCGTTGGCCGTGTAGAACAGCTGCGTGATGGCCGCGTCGACGTACGCCGTCGGCGCCTGGCGCAGGTCCAGCGTCGCGTTGAACACGCCGCCGGGCCCCGCGCGCGGCCGGTGGTTGTCGCGCCACCCGCTGCCGCCCGTCGGGTTGCTCTGCGCCCACACGTTGTTGCCGCCCGTCGTGCCGCCCGCCGCCCACCCGTCGGGGCTGGCCGCGCCCAGCGCCGGGTCCGCCACCAGCCGCCGCGCGCCGTCCGCGGGCGAGTTGACGTCGCGCGGAAAGACGACGTAGCCCTCGGCCGCCTGCGCGTACCAGTCCGCCAGCGCCACCACGCGCGCCTCGTCCGCCGCGACGTACGCGTTCCACCAGTGGCTGTCCTGCTCGGCCGTCACCCGCCACGCCGCCGCCACGCGCCCGTCGCCCAGCTGCACAAACGCCGGGCTCGCCGTCGCCGCGCCCGCCGCCGCCACCCGCGCCGGCACGCCGTCCAGCGCCACCACCACCGGCTGCCCATCGCTGCCGCTGGCCTCGACCGCCGCGCCGATGCCCGCCTGCTCGGCCGCGTCCAGCGGCGTCCCGAGGTGCTGCGCGAGGACGCCGAGCGCGCGGCGCGCCTGCGCGAGGATGTCGCTGGCCTCGCCCATCTGGTGCGCGCCGCCCGCCCCGCTTGCCCCGCCCGCCTCTGCAAGCGCTGCTGGCGCGGCAAAGCTCTGCGCCGACGAGATCACCCGCCGGTCGCGCGAAATGTTGACGTTGGCCACCGCGTTGGCAACGTCGGCCCCGCGGACGCGCTGCACCACATGCACGTGCGTGATGCCGCTGGCCGCGTCCGTGTACGCCGCCGTGACGCGCATGCTGTCGGCCGGCGCGCCGTACGTGGCGGCGAGGTAGTCCACCGCGGCGGCGGCCAGGTCGTCTGTGCCGGCCGCGGTGCCTTGGCCGGCCATGCTTGCGGGGCCGGCTGCGAGCGCCACTGGCTCGTCGTGCACCAGCAGCTTGCCCTTGTTTGCGAGCAGCGGGATGAATGGCTTGGGCGCGGCGTTGCTGGCAGGCGCAGATGCAGCCGCAGCCGCAGCCGCAGCCGCAGCCACAAGTCCAAGCAGGCAGACGGTCCTCATTGCGCGCGGGGGGGGGGGGTTGCGTGTGGATCCCGGCCGCCCGGCCACCATGCCCACCCGCTATATACCGCCACCGCCGGCGACATATGCGGTCACCCGGCGCCGGCCCTCGGCAACGTACGCGATCATCCGGCGCCGGCACATGTGCTGACGCGTGCTGCTGAATGCGCCGCCGGCTCCCCGGAACGTGACGCCGCCCCCGCAACCGTCGGCAGGCGGCGCCATCAATTCAAAAAGGCGGCGCCATCAAAAGCGCCACCCCCGCAGCCATGCGCCCGCAGCCACAGCGCCCCTCTCTGCCCGGACAAAAGGGCACTTTGGCGCTGGGGCGCGCCGCCCCGGCCCAGAGCCAGCGCAGAGCCGGGCAAAAGAGCGACCACACCAGGACTCGAACCTGGAATCTCTTGATCCGTAGTCAAGCGCCTTATCCATTGGGCCATGCGGCCAGCCGCTGCTTGGCTGCGGAGCCTCGCTGCTGGATGCCCGCTCGGCACGCCCCACGCAGCCCTGGGAGGCAAAATCCCCATCACGTGACACTGGCCCCGAAAAAGGCACGGCCGCTTCAAAAAAAGGCTCTGCACATCCAGACGGGCCACCGTGGGGTCCATCTGGTTCCTCTTCGAGTCCGGCGACGAGGAACGACGAGCGACCCTGACGTTTGCTTTCCCTGCTTTCAACCCCGACAACCCCGGCAGCAACATCGACCTCCACTACGCATCCACGGCACCACCACCTCCTCCCCCCAACACTAGTCCCAGCGCTGTTGGAGGGAGGTGCGGGTGGTGCCGTGGCTGTGTGCTGGAGGTCGATGTTGCTGCCGGGGTTGTCGGGATCAAGCGCGGGGAGCGCAAACGCCAGGACCGCTCGTCGCGCTACAGATGCCGAGAGGGGCAAAAGGGGGCAAGGAAACACCGCCGTCGCCGAGTCGGGGGGTGGCGTTTTTTGGAGCCCGACGCACTCTACCGCGGCCGCACAGCGCCCGCCCGCCCAGACATCTGGGCGCCGGCCAAAAGAAAAAAGGTGCTCCCCGACCGGGAATTGAACCCGGGCCGCCAGCGTGACAGGCTGGCATACTAACCACTATACTATCGGAGAATTATTGCAAGGCCCGCGGACCCCGTCGCTGGGCGCCCCCCGCGCCCGGACAGCGCGGCCTCGGAGGGGGTCTTCCAGATCACGTGCACCTGGCCGCCCCCCAAAAAGCACGCCCATCTGGGCCCGACTGCTGCCCTGTCTGCGGCGAGGACAAGGAGGACCTCGCCCACTACTTTGTCGAGTGCCCGCGCGTGGCACGGTTCTGGCTCCTGGCCAGCCGCTTCCTCACCGCGACCGTCCCGGCAGAGTACCACACAAGCGACGCTTTCCCGATCACCATTGACGCCTCCGCCGTCGTGCACGGCTTTGACCGCTGGCGCAAGATCCTGCCCAACCACGCCGCCCTGCACGGGCTGGCGGTGTGGGAGGTGTACCGCGCCCACGCCGAGACCGCCCTCGACGGCCGGACCATCACCGCAGACGCGATGTTTGCCCGCTGGCGACTGACCGTCATGCACCGCGCCATTCACGACTTTCGCACTCACGTCTCCCCCGCAGGCTGCCGCCGCTTTGTTTCCAGATGGACCACCGTGGGGTCCATCTGGT